CCCCAGAGTGGTAAAAGACTTTCACGTTCACGAAATAAAACTCATCCTGTATACACGGTTCTTTTTTCAGTTGCGCTTCTCTCGACGCTCCGTTTATTCGTTTAATAATGCGCACGCACACGGCTGTGACTCACGTCGAATGTCGAGTTAATCGTTTCACAAGAAATCGAAAGGCATGCATATTGCATTCGTGTAATGGGTATTTCATTTATGTAAGCATTAATAAGGAAAAAGAAAAAAAACGCGAGTCTTCAAAACGTTGACAACATCGTTAGTCGAGAAAAAATGACGGTTGCATTAATATTGCTCGTATTATATAACTTTAATGCTGGAACATGTTCCGCTATTACATATTTTGTTAACAGTGTCGCTACGAGTTCTCCGCGCGGCGTTTTCTCCGGCCATCGGTAACATTAATACCGTGCCTGCAACAGCGTGAAACAATTAATTTTAATGAACGTATAACGCAGTCATATAACGCCGGGCGGAATCTGAACTAACCGAACTTAACGAATCAATTAATATAGAGGGGAAAGAAAATTAATGCTGCGCTAGGAAGTGCGACGGTATTATCCCAGTTTCGAAACTGCTGTCGTCATTACAAAAACAATCTTTCTTAGGCCCAGTTTTTCATTTGCTGGTTAAATGTTAAGAAGTTACTCGACTCCCCATCTTTTTCCGTAGAGGAAAGTCCTGTATTATTAGAGATAATCGAGATAGTATTAGAGTAATAGAAATAGTATTAGAGATAAAATCTTAATACGAGATAGCGGGGTTTTGTTAAATTAATAGGTATCGTCTGCTGATTCCACCATGAATTTATTGTCCTTGGAGCGAAATCAGTTTAGTGTAAAATTCATTCTTGGATTGCGTAATCGTTGCGAAAAAAGATTTGTAATTGAATTTGGGCACTGAAAACCTGCTATCTCACGTTAGAAATCTATCTTATAATAGAGGACTTTCCTCTATTATCATCTAAGAAAAGACAAGTAGTAGGTTGACCACTGGTTAACATTTCGCCAGAAGATGAGAAACCGGGCTATAGGGCCAATTTTTCCAACCCCTTGGTAAGCTAATAGTTAAATTATGTGTCTATCCTCTTTTAATTTAAAGGAAACACAAATGGTTTAACTATTAGTTAACTTACCAAGAGGTTGGTACCCTGCCCTTAATGAGTCAGATAATAAATCAGATGACTCGATTAAACAAACAAGTTTAGCGTGAAAAATCTTTAATGCCGCGAGAAGAAAATCCAGCGCACTTTTAGAAAGCTTCTAATTCTCGTTCGATTATATTAATCGGCGGCGTCGTGAAGTATTAAAAATAACAATGCGGAACGCGAATAACGATGACGATTAAATCGCGGCATTAAAATCGGCGCGGTTTATCTGGAAAGGTGCTCGATCGAACGCGCAATCACGTGGGGAAGTAGCGCGAGGCGCGTGTGTTGGTAAAGTATAATTAACGATAAGAGAATTGACGTCGCGTCTTCTTGCCGGAAGAAAGAAAATGTCACTCGCACACGCGGTTATTCAGCCTTGAATGGCTGATTAGACTGACCAGCAAACGGCGCGCTTTGCACTTCATCAGCGCCGCTGTACCGCGCTTCTCGCGGTCTTTGTTGTGCATGCGAATGACGGTGTTGAAATGGCCCGCCTGCTACGTGTCCCGAACGCGTTATTCTATTTCGCTGACTGTCGCGAGATTTCCTCAATCTCCTCTCAGATATGTCGGTCATGTGGCGTAATTGGTAATACAAGTGTTAATCGTTGCTTAATTGCGACGAAAGGGACTTGTCAGAATGCGTGATTTACAATTGCAATTGTTGCCTTTGGTATACGCTGACGTATCCTGGCATTCGTCGAGGTAGCCTCATTTTTTTTGCTCTAACATAACTACATTTGAAAACGGAAGTTACATGAAATTGGTTGCTTCCGATAGCTGCTCTGACTGATAACACAGGATTTTGCGATTTGAATCGAACACGGCGTTTCTTGTAGATTTTTTTATACTGAATCCCAACCCGGTCGTAAAATTATTCTAGTACGTCACAATTTTGAGAAAAATAAAGTAGAATCCCTAAAAACGATCCCTAGAAAAATAGGGTAGAATTCCTAAAAGTGATTTGGTAACATTTAGAGAACCACAATTTTGAAATCCAACACAAACCTGTAAGCCCTCGAAAGAATCGTCGGTAATTATACTTTATAGTCTTCATTACACTTTATACTTTTTCAGAGTATTTGGACAATATTTAGAGTGCTATTTTATTCTATTTTTCTCAAAAAGATGACGTATTAATTACGCGGCTGGATTTGGATCCGGCATAAAAAATGTACAAGAAATGATAGATTCGATTCAGATTGCAAAAAAGGATAAAGTTATCGCATTGTGTAATTGTTCGTTTTGTTACAATCATCTGTTGTTAAAGATTATATAATAGGAACACGTAATTATACAAAGACTCTCCAATTCTCCACCGAATTGCTCAAATCGAAGTTATAATTCGCGGCAGGCCGTTTTATCGTTTGTAAATATATTTTGCACGCTGGCGAACTGCAGTTTTCGATTCAGTGCATGGCCACTAAATTAACCATCACCGCATTTCGGGACATCGTGAGTATTTGTAGAATCCCGCGGACTTGCAAAGGTAGAAGGTCGCTATATCGGCTTTTGCTTTTCGTTTTGTCCAACGTAACGGCCGCTAACGTTTGTTGTAACCACTTGCAGTTCATAATGAGAAAGAGGCAAACGAGGTTCAATTACGGGGAACGGTGCCGGCCGGTATCCTTGGATGCCTACAGCCTCGACAGCGTTTCGGCGTACAATAGCGTCAGACGCAAAGGTGCGGCGAGATCCTCCAAGAGAAGTTACGGCAATCCGACTTTCGAAGATTCGGTAAGTTCGATTAACTCGTGGAAGAGCCTTCAGGAGTGTGTGAACTCCTCTATTGTGCTGTTAGGAATTTAATCTTGCGTTTAATCGATAATTATAGTATACTACATCAGAGATACTTAGGTTCGTGTATACCTCAACTATATTAGAGGTAAGAAAGTTATATAAATTAATTTCGAGACATTTTCCTCGTGAGAGATGCACAAACTGGCGTCATGCAAAAATAACGTTATGACAAATTGTTTTTTCTTCAGTACAGATTTTTTGATTATTTTGAAAAGATGTGCGCGCGGCACATTTGCAAAGGGACAATTTGTTTCTACTAACAATACATTTTTCCGTAACAGGGAGAGAATATTCTCTTAAAATTTACCATAAAAATCATGTAATCGTGGGACATGGCATTTTAAAGAACTTTATGAGAGTCTTTTTGAAATTGTAGTGTACTATAACATTTTATTTGTAAAATTTCAAAAAACTCTCAAAGTTGTTCAAAATGCGTTGTGCTATACATTTTACTAGTAAATTTTCCTAGTAAAATTAAAAAAAATTGTTATAAATTCCTTCGAAAAGCCATGTTGTCTCACGATTACATAATTTTCAGGATAAACTTTAAGAGAAAATTTCCTCCGTACATATTTTCTATTATATTACAGTAATAATTTTCCTTTCTTTATAGCTCTTACGCGTTACAAAAGTATAAAACTAAATTAAACGTTCAGGTAAACGATTATGCGAAGTAATAGTATCGCCCGTATCTAAATAGCGAAAGAGTAGCAGTGCTAACGCTATCTCGGTAGTAGATTCGATCGACACATAAAAGTAAATTAACTATGTTGCCGCTTTGTTTGATTTCTGCCGTTAGGTTGCCGTTAGTTGACTTAGATTCTTACTAGAATTCTGCTGACTTTATTGACTACAGTAGATCAATTGCATCTACAAATTATGTACCGGAACACATTTAATTTTATCTACGTAGCATGCATTCTGTTTAATTATAAACCGGCGTGTATCAATAAACTATTATCTTGAAAGCATCGAGCTGCTTTTACCAATGGCTAGCTTTTAACCAGTTGATTCCACGAAAAATTATTTACCGTATCTTCTGGAAAATTGTAGGAATCTTAAGGTTAATTCGTAAGTATAAAATGAATGCAATTATTGCGAAAGAGAGAAAAAATTATCCGTTTATTTTCATTATTTTATGTAATGTCTAATCGTAAATTTTTCAAAATTTTATTTTTATTGCGCTGATAAAGACTTTGCAATGGTCGAAACGTTCGTTTTCTTTTTATTGATTGTTTAAATGTAATTTTTTACATTGTTGCCCTGTCATTATTGGCCCTTTTGTTTATTTCTTTTTTTTTGTATTCTCACAGTTAACGAACATGTCTTTTCTTTATTAAGAAAAAATTATGTTATCGATATTTAAAAACGTGTTTCGACTCCAAATATGTGAACGCAGACTTTGGATCACACTTAATCTCTCAAAGTTTCTCAATATTTCAAGACTAAAATTCTCCCAACTTAGTATATGCCTTTTTACTTAATTGAATTTCGAAAATTGACATATTCGAAGTATTCTTGAATCGATATCGAGTAATTTCCTATGTAGCGCTCGGTCAAAGAAAGCAGGGCGTTCTCTCCTCCACGAGCGAAGCTTTCTAAAGGTATTCTCTTATTTCAGAGCGCCATTCCCTCTCACCCCCTTAACTTCGCCGGGCTTTCATCTTTCTGTAACGACGTTAACGCAATCAACGACGAGTTCGCGGGTATACCTCAGGTTTCGGCGAAGATAGACGAGCTGCCTCCAGGCGCGGAGGTGAAGAACAGGTACGCAAATGTGATACCACTTCCGGAGACGAGGGTGCCGTTACAGAGGCTGAACAACGACGCCTTGACTGAGTACATCAACGCTAGTTACGTGCGGGTAAGTGAGAACGTTTTGTTCGAACTGATTTTCGTGGTACAGCATCCCTCGTACATATCGCTCGTCGCTCACGAGGAACGTTCTTTGTCGCTACTCTGCGCGTTATTGCCGTTGAAGACTTTACTCTCGGCGTTCATGGCGTGAAACATGAAGCCATAACCCGAGCTCGAATTCGAGCGCGATTTACGGCCGGCGTCCCGAAATTACAGGTTCGCGATTCCGCGGTGATGCGAATCAATTAATTTGCAAATCAATAGCGAACGACGCCAAACGAGAAATAAATTACGAACTACTAGTATCCGCCTCATTTCTGCGTGGACACATGGGAGAACTGCGTAATTATCTATGCCATTAGGGTAATGGGATATTTATATGCGAGACCAGATTACGTCAGCCACGTCATACAGCGAGCGCTAAAGTGTTAAAGAGTAGCAAAGCGTTTTCGCGGCGCGTGGGAAAGAAATATTGCGTAACGCACGCGTCGCGTCGCTGGGAAAGTGAGTGCATTGTATCGCGCAAGCTGGGAACTCAAACGCGGAAGCGTTAGGAATTGTATACGGAATATAGACTAGAGATAGTCTTCTACAGCCTCAATAGCTCCGCAAACGGGGTTAAAGAGACCCCGTTTTGCGCGGAGGCTAATCATCTCGCGTGCACAAGGTTACGTTATCGAGAATACATTTGTCTGAAACATGTGTGTGCATTTCTTGCACATTATGAGGGAAATCCCTGAAAAGCAGACGCGTATCTTCACGAAAACATTGGGGAAATTCAAGCGATGACTTCTATACACATCCTCGCTAAAATATACAACGAAAGATATTGTGTAATTTAGTCACGAAGTAAGAAATACTAAAACAATTCACTACTGAAAGCTTCGTCTTGCACAGCGCGCTTTGGCCGACCTCGGAGAGAATCTTCTTTTAAAATGTACTCTAAAAATTGTGTAATCGTGGGACAACATGGCATTTCAAAGAACTTTCTGAGAGTTTTCTGAAATTTTACCATTTTACTAGTAAAATTTAGTTATGCTAGTTTTACTGGTATTTTATTTTACTAGTAAAATGTATGGTAAAATTTCCGAAAACTCTCATAAAAGTCTTCGAAATGCCATGTTGTCCCACGGTTACATAATCTTCGGGATAAACTTTAAGAGAAAATTCCCTCCGTGTATAATATACGATAGAATTCTAGACAGAAATCTATTTCAATTCTATCTCCAGTTATAGATCGTCTAAAGTTGGCTTAAATATCGATACGATTAAGTTCAAGGGTGACTTTCGACAACGTTGTCTTAAAATAAAAAACTAAATACCGTTTTTGAACCATGTAACTCAATGTAATCATTTCCTACTCAACAATGTGCCTGTTATGTACAACGTGTGTTCTAATATATTATTGAGTGGGAAATTGTAATAATGACGTTACGTAACGACTGCTTATAGCGTTCACTGGGTTGGTGTTGGAAAGAATCGCGTTTCAAAAATTCTTACCTCACCAATATCTCTTCAGTTCGAGAGTAAAATGTTCCCTTTTAACTGTATTTTACTGAGACGTTCGCTGATTTTTAAAATATCTCGTATATTTATATTGGTTAGGTCCGTTTTAGCAGTGCAAAAGACGCATCGCGAAATGATTTCGACAGTGGCAGTCAATAAAAGTAATATTATTATAGTAATACTCGAAGAAGTGGCTGTGCACGGAATCTCCTTCGTTGCAGAAATCGCAGGGGGATGTCGCGAATGTATTATGCGCACGTCGTGTCCTAATGATTTACGCAACGGACAATTTTATCCAATAAGCGCAATGTGCGCAACGACCGAGCAATTTTCAATTTATCAGGCTTGGGGAAATTTTTCTCATTTAAAGAGACGAAAAAGTGTATGAGACACGCAAGACTCGTGTTTTTCCTTTTTCTCCCTGCCGAGTGTCCTGCGGCGCCCAGCGCCCTAAGGGTGCAGCAAATCCATTTATCTCGCACGCGTTAAGACGCTTCCGCTTCTGGGATTCGACGGCAACGAACGAGATTTCCATTAGGGACGAATCGATCGATCAACAAGCGAACCCAGAGCGGTATCGCTTCCGCCTTCGGATTGCTTCATATCGCGGATACAATCGAGCCGGCATTCGTAACGCTTCCACCTTATATATACCACTGTATATAACGTGTATGTGTGTATAGCGTACGTCTTGCAATTACGGAGCGTGTAGGTATTAATGCGCGCCGAATGTGGTCGATGGAACGCAGTCTGACGTGTAATTAATTTCGCTCCACTCTCGATAAGATCGCATAATACTCCGGAAATGCAATTGCACAATTGTCTGAATAGAGAGTGATTGGTCGTCAACGACAATTATCTATAAATAGAACAAAAAGTTGAAATGAATTGTTCCACGAATGAATTCGAAATTCCACGTCAGTCGTTCTTAAAAATATCTTATTAATTAAGATGCTTTGTGCGAACCTGATGTTAGATTAATTGTAGCAGTAATTAGTGATCAAGCGAGTTTCAATTTGAAATAGGATAAAACATGTGCGAGATATAAGTTGCATCTCTTTGATATCTACGATTATGTTTCCGGGCAAGAGCAGTGAATAGTAAAATTTCGTATTTAATTTATAAGTTTACGAGTAACTTGTTTAATTTCCTACAGTGGTTAAAAGAGCATGTCTTATTTTTCAGGGGCCTAAGAACGCCACAAAATACTATATCGCGTGCCAAGCACCAATAGAGTCGACCGTTACCGACTTTTGGCGAATGATCTGGGAGCAACAGTCCAAGGTGATTATCATGCTGACCGATCTCGTCGAGAACGAAGTGGAAAAGTGTACGGAATACATTCCACCTTCGGAGGTAACAGATTGTCATCGACTTTACGGTGACTTCCAAGTCACGTTGAAGAAGCGGGAAACCAAGGAGAAGTACGCTATCTCTACACTTCATCTGAAGGTAAAGAGCACTCCTAATTAAAGCACAAACCACTTGGTAATACTAAATCTCTTTGGAACCTAATCATTAACGCGTATAATTTCAAGTCAGTTATAGTCTCTTAGTAATTGTATTAACCTAACGTCACTTGGAATTAATTAATTAAAAATCGATTACAAAACAATTCTTTTTCATATAATTCAAAATATAATATACTGCAAGAGATCTCTGTAGCAGCTCGAACATTCAATGGCAACCTTTTATCAAGCAGAAGCAATTAAACAAATATGTTTTCAGCAGAATCTGGAGAACAATACGTTCCGTGAGGTATTTCACATTTGGTACCTATGGCCGGTGAGTGGCGTCCAATCAGACGGTACAGGCCTAATAGCGGTGCTCCTCGAAGCAAGGGCACTCCAACGAGGTGGCCCTGGGCCCATCGTGGTCCATTGTAGTCCTGGCACAGGACGCACTGGCACGCTAATAGCCCTCGACCTAGGAATTAGACAATATGAAATTACGAGGACCGTGGACGTGCCGAGGGTCGTTTACACCATCAGGAGAGACCGGGCTGGCGCAGTTCAGACCAAGGAACAATATGCTTTCATATACAAGGTGATACTCAAGCCCGTTGATCGCTACACGAGGATACGTGGTTCCCTCAAATAGAATGTTCATCGTTCTCAGACCTAATTTAATTACGCGATTTTAATAATTTATTTTCTTGCCCATTTTTGTTCGGTACACAGAGAGAACTTTTTAAAATTTAACCCGAAAATCATTTAATCGTAGAATAACATGGCATTTTGAAGAACTTTATAAAAGTAAAGACTCATTGTCGCGAATAAATAATTAACCAATGTAGAAAATTAATAATCGACACATCTAGCAAATTTTTTATAAGAGCAACTTTGTAAGTCTTTGAAATTTTACCATACATTTTACTAATAAAATATATGGTAAAATTAAAAAAACTCTCAAAAAATTCTTCGAAATGTCATCGTCAATCATGTCAGAAGATAGATCGATTTATATACGCATAAATATAATAGATTTATGAATACTATATTGTCATAATGGTAGTCGAAAATGGATCTTTCTTTGTTGAAGGCACTAAACTTGTACGCGACAAAACTCGCCGGCGGCGTGCTAGAATCAACGTGAAGCAGAAATCCTGCGAAGATGAAACGTCCATCGACGAGGGTTGATTGTTTGGTCAGCGAATAGGGTGTGCACGTGAAATCGGAAAGAACCTTTATCCAAAAAAGATTTTCGCACGGTTAGGTAGCTGCGCAAGTTACTGGCTGAAGGAAATCAAATACAAAGATGCCAAATGTTGTCCGATTTAAGGGCAGAGGTGTTCTAATATTGCTCTTAAGAAAAACAGGGACTTTGTCGAAGCTAAGACAAAATGGTGATTACGAGATAAATATAAAACAGGGTGGATGTGTATTTTGTTAGAACGCTAAATGTTACGTAATGATTTATCGGATGGTTAAGATCGTTGGAAGAGCTAAACGTTACCTAAGGTAAGGCGTGAAATTAATTTGTGATATGTGAACTCTTAGATTACTTGTAGGTTTGCTGATACTGACACAATTCATTCACTGCTGACTTGTGATTCTATTAGTGAAAAGTTTTAGGGATTATCAAGGATACCTTTTATTTTCAAAAAAAATTTTACTATATTTTATAAGTGGAACAATTTGAACAATTCAAATATATTTAAATTGTATTCAATTTGTATACGTTTACCTAATATTTTCTTGAGTAGAATTTACTTGCTAAAAGTAAGTAAAATATTAATTACTATTTAATTAATGAATGTTTAAAGAGAGGAATTTTCTTCATATTCCTTAAACAACGATACTATTTTTGGGCGTCCCTAAGACTGTAAGGAGATATTATGTTGATATTAATAGTTCGATGTGACTCACAATGCATGCGGAATATCGAATACCAAAATTGGAGGAGAGCCGAGTTTAGTTGAAATTTTAATAATGAAATTAATAAACTTTCTTATTTTTCAATAATTTTATATGAATGTGATGCGATCAAATCACCTTAAAAAAATTTGGAAATATTTTAAAGTAATGTACCAAAACGGATTAACAATGTTTTAAAGAGATACTTCCATTAAAATAATTAATATTTAAGGTGAACTTCATGAAAATTTAATAGTAATTGGATATAACAATTGGAGACGTATATATTTATTTATGTTTGAATTTTGAATCAATGTGCGATCTTTCGAATTTCCATTACTTAATATTTTTGACGTCAGAAGTCATTTTATTTGTAATAAAGCGCACACTCTGTTTTAGAAAATACTCTTGACAGCATATGCAATGCAAAGATTTCAACTCATTTGAAATAAAAGAAAAAGAAAGTTTTGATCTGCATGCATCGTTCATATAAAAAAAATGGTGCATTTTTAGAATCGAAGTCCCACTTTTGCTCTTGTCGTCGAGAAAATAGAAATGTTTTAATATTGTGATTTGAATCGGTTAAAGACGATAAAGAGGCATTTTATAAACATGCATGCAAAAATAAAAATCAGCATAGTTGTGTATTAAATATCATGTATATCCCCGTAAATGCAAAAGGTGTGATCGCTTATATATAATAGACATCTTTGGTAATACAACAGTTACTTTTGTAATAATATCAAGAAAGGACATTTTCTGATTTTTTTCTTAAATTAGATATTTTATTGTTGTTATTGTTATTATTGTTGTTATCATTGTACAGAATATATCTCAATTCCGTGGCATGTCGCTCTCTATAATTGTAAATATGTAGAATGTGAACGATTATTCCGACAATTGCGTTGATTAATCGACCTGAGAGATTTTATTTATACATAGAAAGCGTTAATCATCGATTTTTAAGCCGAGAAATACCAGCCTTCCTTTTTTGGCAAGCCTAATTGTACGGACTTGAAGCGAATGTCCGTCCATAAGTGCAATGTACCAAGTGTATTTAAAGATTAGTGTAGTTACGTTAGTTTTGTAAGAAAATTCAGTCTGGATTATGATCCCTAGTTATAATTACGACGAGACATGACGGAACTGACTTTAATTTTCCGAATGCAAGCAAATTACCAACTAATTAACCATCCAGTGGATTTTACTTATCTGAATTTATCGGAAATCAATTTTAATTGTTCGATTCTTCGGTGAACGACACTTTACATGGGCTGCAATTTTATTCGGCTGATATTTACTTTAATGAATGAGTGTTTAGATGTCATTCGCATTCATGATCAGTCGCTGCGCCCTCAAAGAGGAGCACGATAACGTCTCTTAATAATAATTTTAATATAAAAACACATCACACAGTTAATCTCTAATGTGATCAAGTGTGTAGCAAAACTCATGAGTCAAATTTATAGAGAGAGATGCATTTTATGTCTTTGAAATATTACATATACAAATGATGAATTATATGAATAACATAATTGTATTATCCATTATTATATGAATAATAATACGCGATATTGCTAATTAGTCTATGACGGCTGTATCTGCGACCGTGTATTGTGATTTATAACTGCAATTATCGACTGATGTGAAAATAAAAGTAGTAGTTATGTACAAGATAACGTTGCAATATTGATGACTTATGGAAATATGAAAATTAATAGGCTAGCATCACGTATCTAGAGTCAAAGAACATAACAGGATTTACAAGTGATATTTATCTAACAGCCAACCCTTAAGGACATACATATCTTGGACCACGATCATATGATAAATATTATTACGATAATATTATGAAAATCATCGAAAGTTGATGTATATAATATTTATGGTACCAAGTCAAGTACCAAGCCAAGTCGAGATGTAAGCTTACAATCGTACAAGCTTATATCTTAAAATCGTAAACTTGTGTTTTTAAATATACAAATTATATTCACTCGATAAGTTTACGGCGTTGATATAAATCTTATATTTCATTTAATAATAAAATGTCTAAATAAATAATGTTATATTGTAATTATGTATGCATGCTCCAGACGTGATTGTAAAACATGAAATAGACGCAGTATTATACAATCACTGTTTTTGATTGACTTCTAAGACAGTGCGCTTTATATTATTTGCACTTAAAAATATTACTTTATTGTTATTGAATGACATTAACAATTGCACAGATTTTAATGAAAATCATCATTTAATTTATTTCAATTTAGACACCTGGTGCCACGAAATTTTGATGATGTTACAATATTTACAATTATTATTATTGTACAGGATCGATTATTCTATTTTAAGTATTTATTATTATTGTATTATCATAAAATATTTTTATCTGAATAATTTTAGTTTTATTTGTGAACATATGAAACATATTAAAGAGAGCACTAAAAAAGAAAAACTCTAATGCACGAAATCTGTCAAGTTAGCACAACATTCTTCGAATTAAAAGAAAATACTAACAGTTCTAATAGCACTTTTGATAGTTCTATAGTTCCTGGTAAAAATTAATTAAAATTGTTAGTGTTTTTTTTAATTCGAAGAATGTCGTGCTAACTTCACAGATCGACAAGTGACGCTGAAGTTCACGTTCTTCGCGGTCTTTTGAACTTTGACCAATCCAACTGCTTTTTATTAAAACACAGTGGCAACGAAATCGGTGAGGTGTGACCTTTTATGGATATTTATTAAAATGCATATTATTTTCTTATTTTCTTATAATTAAATCTAATTATATTTTTAAAACAATAATAGATGTAACAATTAGATATGCAATAATAATAATATTTCACTAGTTATCTGCAGGTAGTTTCATCGGAATGACTGAAGCTCACAGTTTGAAAATTCTTCAATTTGTTACTTATTGGTAACTTTTATGAAAATGAATATTATTGCACCTACAAAGAAATATTCAATTCAGTTTCTTAATTCAATTTTTAAATATAAACTCAGATAAATATTTTCTTTGATAAACAGTACACTGTCCCTAGACAGTGTAACGTAGCCAACTCCTAAGTAGTTTTAGTATTATACAGACTATCTTTTTCTAAAAGACATGTTACCGGCGTGAAAGTCGTTAATATTGAACAGTTGAGGCCTCTTTTCCGCGATGCCGATTGGTTTTCTCGAAGTGCGGAACAATCGTTAAAGTTTCATTATTCTTTCTCTTCTAAACAAACTTTTCCATTACATACATTTTGTCTGGATATCTCGAGAAAGACTTTCGGTTATTTGGAGATTAAAAGATAATATTCTTTTCTTCTGTGTGTGAACATAAATATTTTATTGTGTTTTTGCCCGTTTTCATTGCTGTTCTAAAAACTTTTCCCATTTGACACATTCTGTTTCAGTATCTTGAGAAAAATGTTTAAATATCTTAAGTCATTAAAAAAATATTTCTGAATATTAACGCAATATTCGTCAAGCATTTTGATTAAAGAAATTAATAAGTTTTTCCATTATTAGCAAAGTGCTTGCGTTATAGCAAGCTGTTCATTGTTTCTTAAATCATACTATCAATCAGTTTATATCTATACTTTTTATGTTGTACAAATAACAGGGAAAATACATTTTACTTAGAATTGATTACATATCCACATGTAATCAATTCTAAGTAAAATGATGGCGACAATATTTCCTAGTTTTCGAATGTTTTCATCGTGTGTCAAAAACCGTGCGGTTAACGTTTCATTTTTAACCGAGATAATACACGCTCTAAATACGAACTGGCATTTATTGCGGATATGAGAAAAGACTTAGGACGCAGGAGAAAATGATAATACATAGAGTACATCTGTTATTTATAGAATCGCTAACTGTTTGTGTAACATTGTCAACTTTGTGCGTTAGCATTTAAACGTAAACAAAAAAATTGTTCACTGCTGAAGTATTTTAATTCTGATTTTCGGATGACTATATTTCTAAAAAAAAAACAGATTTATCGCAAAATAAAAATAATAGCAGTTCTTGATGTTATCGAGATCGATGTTAATGATTCATTAGATAAGTTGTAAGATTAAGTAAATTTAAAGTTCTGTCTTCATGATGAATCAATCACACGTATGATTTATAAATGATAAAATTTATGTACACATAAATATATGTGTGTAATGTAAATTTTTCAGAACTCACTTCTCATTTTATCGTAAATCTTTAGTCGTTTTTGCACTTTTGCCAGTAATTTTTTGATCCTAGGTGTTTTCAATACATGTCAGGAGTCAGGGGGATGTCGAATTGCGCATTAATAATGTTCTAGGATTACAATGGCGCGCAAACGTTTGCAAAAAATATTCTTTCGCAATTGCGTAAGTCAGTTCATACAGATTAGGTTTCGCCTAATCGCTTTATTCTTATGGTAAACATTGGTACGCTTGAACCACGTGTAGCTTCATCGATCGATTACAACTGTTTCTTCACAGCGGTGCGGCCCCATTCGGTATACTTCTTTGACGTATTCCGTCGGAAGCTTCCACGCCTCTTTTCTTTAAGGAGCCGTAGTAAGAAGTCGCGAATACGGCACGTGTAAGAGATACCCGTGCGCAGTAGTATCTCACGAAACTCGTACAACGAATCGAAATGGATCGAACGATAACTTTTACAGTAAGTTAATTAAAGATTTTCTTTTCTTATTTGTATCTCGTTGATCCAATTGAAGTCTTCTTAAAAAATATTATTAGAAAAAATCGATATGTCAGGAACTAAATTTATTCATTAAAAATTATTTTAAACAAAAGTGCATTCACATAAAAAAGTATAAAGTATTTTTAATTAACATCTATCGACTTTGGGGAACCTTCTGTGGTCTTTAAAAATTATTTTCTGAGCTTCTTATTCGAATACCCGGTTCCTAGGCCGTGATGCTAGGCCTAGGCTCCGGCCCTAGGTTCTCGCAGCCAATGGCAGTAATTATATATTTGTTCTTTATTAATAAACAAACAGCTAATCTAAATACAACTAAATATATTAGATACAAAAAATTGCTATCACTGCCATAATAGTTTCGACAGTTTGGATTAATTTTGATTAATTTTTTTATACAATCGATATTCTAGGCGCATTTAGTGACTATCCTTGGTATGAGCTTTGTTTTATACAAGTAAGGACGAGCGCTTCGGAAATCCCAAACCTTGTGGCATTCCAGATAGTCTACCAGATCGGCTGGATTCGACTGGCTTTAACTGGATCGTGGCTGTTGGATCTCGAGACGTCCGGGCTTGTTCGCGCCTATGCCGGTTGCGCATATTCGAGGAATAATTGTTTGCAGAGAACAGGTGAAGAGACACGTCGGGTTTCCTGCCGGTGGTGGTTTTGTTCTTGGGACAAAGTAAATTTTTCGCGGATGTAGAACGAAAATATCAAATCGATTGTCTGACTACTGACTAGCTATCTATTGTGTTATTAGCAAACTGCTTTTGCAAAATATGCGTTTACTGCGGCAGCAATGGAAGGATTGTGAGTGTTCTTGGTATCTTATTATCATTTGAGAAAAAAATATGAGAATTTTTTCATTTCATTTTTCATTCTTTCCAAATTACTAAATACAATGCTACTAATGAAACATAACAACGCTTTACAAAGCGAAAAAATGTACAATTTGATAAATGATAACAAAATTAAAAATCAGATAAAATCGATAATACAAGTACAATCTTTAAGTGATCGAAGAATACGTCCGGATATGATCTTCAGGACAGTTAATTGTATTCTTCGATCACTAAAAGATTATACTTGTTTTTTTTAAGAGAAAATTCTCTCCGTGTACACAGTAAAATAACATAACTATTGACAAAACGGTATCAAAATATGGGACAAACAGCAGATATGGCGGCTGGTCACGGAGATGACGGATACTCATCGTCTTTGTGGAGACACCACACCAATTATAAGCAGAAGTTCGCTCGCAAGAATCGATAGCAATATCCATCTACCACGGTTGAGAACTAAGCAAGGGGGCGGAATGGCACTTGGCCTCATTGAAAAGATTATCCCCTGTTATTTAATCGCAGATGTGCCATCGATTTTCCGCCCATGTCTCGAGCGTGTGTACACTTCCTTCGGGCTATCTTGTGTCGCCTACGGATATCCCGGGATTATAATAATTTGGGTAGTTCACACGTGTCCGAGACCGACGACGACAAACAATGGGCGAATCTAATTCACACTGAATCATATGCACAAGTCAGACAAATAATATCTAGACAGAGGGTATAATTACAGTTGCGGCATTATTAAAAAGCAGCCTGAGTCTTCTGTATCGCCATGCACAATCAATTGTGCAACATCGTAATCGGCGCAGAGGATCTCGCTGTAGTTCTCTTTTTTAAATCTAGCTAAAGTACGACTCTAATGATTGGTACATAATTTTGCAAGATTAACAAATTGAGTTGCTCGCAGACTTCGATCTTATCTCGGTATCCGACGGTTCCTTGTGGATAAACGGGCTCAGCGGGCCTTCGAAGTAAACGCCGATATTTGCGGGAAATAAATAAACGGACGTTGAAAGCCCGTAGCGGCCAAGCCTGACAGCAGTTAAGCCAAACCGCCGACGGTGCCGGGCAATTCGCCAGTATCATACTAACGCGATGCGATAATGAGGTAACATGTTGAAATTAACAAACAGTACTATATTAGTGTCATAAAAATTAGGCGATTGACATAACGTTCTGATTTATCAGATCAAAAACTGTCTGCCGTATCTCTGCAAACAGATCCGCCCTCTTAAGGCTAGAAAAAGACGAATCATAATCTCTCCCTCCTTCTCTGTATAGAAAACCCAAATAAACCTTCCAGTATTCTTATTTGTCTTTTAAATTAGTCATCAAATGTCGCTTGAGTAAATTATATGAGCAAAACATGGAACACTCCGTTTAAAAATTTTTCCTATCAATTCCGTGTGCAATTTTATGTTATCGGGACGTCAGTATTTACGAAATTATTTGTATAAGTGCAGGGAGCGAGTCGTCAAATTGAATGTTAATATTATTTCTATGGCATACATGTTTTAGTTAACAAGTTGTAGCCTTGAGAGATTACGTTATGTTCAAGGAACACCGTTGGAGCATCGGAAACGCCGTGTTGGG